CCTCCAGCAGCACAGACAGCTCAGCCTCCACCAGCGGCTTCAAGCGATCCTCCAGGGCATTGATGATGTCCTACAAGTCACAGCAACAAACCTTGAGGGCCAAGGCACACCCAGGAGACAGGAGCAAGGGAGAGGGACCTCTGCAACGCCAGCACCTTCTTGCTGTCATGCACCATCAACCCCACCCCCAGCCCGTACCTGCAGCTTCTCTATGATGTTCTTGTAGTCCCACTGGTTGGGGGTGGTGGAGACACGGGGGAAGGTCCGTGTGGCTGCCTTGTAGTTGGCTGTGTTCCTCTGCACCGTGCTGGTGGAGCTGCTGTTGAGCAGGGAGCTGACATGGGCATCCAGGTCCATGGGCAGCGCGATGGAGCGGCTCTTGGCTGCAGGAGATGGAGATGGGGTTGGGGACAGCCATGAGCCAACCCACCCCAGCAGCTGGGTCCCACCCCACCTCAGGCTGGGCACCCCTTCACCAGCCCTTCATTTGCAGCAAAGAAAATTCAGGTTAAAAAGAAGAGTAAAGTCCTCCAGGCTAGTGAGGGGTGGAGTATTTCCATCCATCCCTCCCCACCGCAGCACAACTTGGCCCACAGCCCCCCCAGCCCAAAGTGGGATGGAAAGAGGCACCAGCTCCAGTTCTTGGTTGGGAAAGCCCAGCATGGAGATGTTGTAAGCCACCAATTACAGAGGGAAATCCCCACCCAGTGTCTAACCACTGAGCAATCCTTTCCACAAGGTGACTCAGTGCTAACAACACTGGTCCTAAGTCAGGCAGCTGTGGACAAGGCTGAGGGCAAAGTCCTGGAGAGGGAAAACCACCATCAATGCTGGCTTTGTTTCCAGGCCCTTCAGCAGCAGGGACACTCCAGGGATCTCCCAGCCAAGCTCATTTATCCCCACGCCACCCTGGTCATGCCTGGAGAAGTAGCTCAAAAAAACACCCACATCCCAGAGCTGAACCTCCCTGTTCTTGGCCAGCAGCTTCTCGCCCTGCCCAGCCCCGCAGAGGGGACGATGGCTCCTGGTCACTGCTGGGGCAGGGACAGCCAAGGGTGGTTGGGGGACAGAGCTCCTTACCAACCATGGCCAGCGTGCGGATGCAGGCTTCCAGTGAGCTCTTGTGCTGCTGCTGCAGCCAGGGACACTCCAGCAGCCTCATGGTGGACTGGAGAAGCTGCACCACAATGGTCTGGTGGGTCTGCGGGAGAGAGCGAGCAGGGGTGTATCAGTGGGAGATCTTGTTCTGGGGGGCTCAGGGAGCCCCTTTCCTCCCCCAGCCACAGGGGGAGGCCTCACAGCCCCTCATCACCTGCAGAGAGGTGCTGTTCTCTGAGAAGGGGGAGCTGAAGAAGGCGTTGATGGTGTCCAGCACCACCGTCAGCACGTACTTCTCCAGCGTGGGGTCCGGGAGGCGCTTCTCTCGCTTCTTGCACATCTGTGAGGAGAAGGGAGGATGCTGATGGCACCAGGGCAAAGTGAGCACGTACCCTGGCCAGGTGCTGCTGGGACCTTGCTAAGCCAAGCGATGTGGCCATTGACACAGCTCCTGGGCCTGACTGCTCCTCAGCCCATAGCGTGGCAGCTACACTTGTCCCCACAGTGTCCACACCCCACGACTGGCTCCCCAGGCTTCAAGGGGACCTTGGTGACATCAACCTGTCCCCACCCAATGGGGCAGCTGTTCCTGCCGTGTCCGTCTCACCCAACCCTCCCCACACACCTGGGCCATGTCCAGGGTGAAGTTCTCAAAAAGAGTCCAGATGTGATTGCTGGTGTAGATCTCCTTCATCTCCACCTCCGTGTCCACATAGCAGTGGTTGACAAAGTTGACATAGGCCATCTTGACCTGCCAGGGAGGGAGGCAGAGAGGCACAGGTGCTGTCAGGAGAAGGCAATCAGAGCAAAGCCACCAGCACCCTCCTCATGGGCACTCTGTACCTCCGTGATGCAATCCTCATGTGTCACCACCCGCACCACGTCCTCCAAGGGCAGCAGGGACGTGCACTTGATCTCAGTGTAGACATTCTTGCCCTCGGCACAGGCAGCCAACAGGTCCACCAGGGAGATGTGGTACATCAGCGGGCTGTTCTCCTCCACCCCATCCCTGGCTGCTGTCATCATCTCCAAGAGGGTGGCCAACGAAGCCTTGTCATTGTAGAAAACCACCACGTCGTCCCCAGCGTTGGTGAGCTGCAGGGGAGGGTCAGTGGTCACTGCTCCACAGAAGGAGGGTCAGAAACCTCACAAGGCAGAAAATGGTGTCCTCTGCAGCAGGGTGATGAGAGGGAGCACCCAGGGCAGGGTGAGGGTGCCTTGAGTGCCCAGGGAAAACCAGGTGTTTGCAGGGCAATCAAAAATCACAACTTGTGGGGATCCAAACCCCACAAGTTTGGATCTTGCATTAAACTCCTGGAGATGTTCATGCCCTGCTGAGAAGCCAGCACGGCCAGGAAGGCTCTTCCTCAAGAAGAAGCCAGCCATGCACCACCCAGGAGCCGTGCCCTGCTTCACCCCACCCTGATGCCCCATGGGCTGGGGGGAGAGGGGCTCACCTCAGTCATGATCATGTCCTGGCACTTCTTGACGTACTTGCCCTCGGCCTTGATGATGGTGTGCAGGAAGTCCAGGTACTGCACGTGGCGGCCATGGGTGGCCACACAGTGGATGAAATGCTGAGGCACCGTCTCGTTGATCTCCGAGCAGAGCTGGTAGTTGTTGAGGAAGATGTGCTGCATGGTCTCAGCCTCCAGGAGCTGTGGGACCAGGGGAAGAGAGTGAGGAACAGCCCACCCCCATGACCTGACCCTTCCTCTCCTGGGGTCTCCTTCTGGCTTTTCTATCTCTTGCTCTCAGCCCCAGGAGTGGTACCAAAGTCTCTCCCTGTGACTGCCCTTCAGTCCCTTCTCCTTACCCCTGGGGTCAGGAACAGGTTGAGGTGTTTGTGCAGCAGGGCCTGGTTTTCCTGATTGCCAGCACAGAACTTCTGCAGGAACTGGTGGGTGAATTTCAGGATCTCCATCATCTTGGCATCACCCTGAGGAAGGGCAGAGCAGAGGAACATCCAGCGTTGGTGAGGAGCAGAGAGCAGCAGTAGGCTGCCCACCCTCCTGCCCTGCCCAGCTGCAAGACCCAGCCATGGGGAGGTCCTTGCATCTCTCATCACTCACCCAGGGCACTTTGGGACCAGCTGGCTTCTGCCCACCCACCTTCTCGTACGGGATCTGCAGCAGATCCAGCATCACTTTGTGGGCATCCATGTTCTTCAGCAGGCGCTGCTGCTTCTTGCGCACTTGCTCTCCCACCCCACACATCTTATTCAGCCGCTCCAGGATCTGGGGAGAGAAGGACCATGGCAGAGGGGGACTGAGCCTGGAAGCCCATCAGGATGGCCATCAGTGCCAGGGGCTTGCCTGCAACCTAGATGTGCCCTCCTGCAGCCCAGGTGATCCCTGCATGCCCAGCTTTTCACATCACTTGCACATCTTGGCACCCCCCTCAGAAATCCTCCTTGCAGGGCCAAGCAGAGAAGCCCTCATGCCCATCACCAACTCTCTCCAGTCCTCCCAGTGCAAGAAGCCTGGGGACATAACAGGGCTCCTCTTTGTGCTGAGCTAGCAGGAACAAGTTGTGGTTTGGACTCACTTCTTCCAAACTACAGGAGAACCTGGAAATCCCCCCCCGTGACTTCACCCTTTCCCCTCTCACCAGTGTGGCTGTGCCAGCCCAGGCCAGGGCAGATGTTGCTGGCTGTGTCCCCAGGACAGCCCAGGGGACAGGACTTGGTCTCACTTACCCCTTTGACTATCTGGTAGTTCTCACTGCTCTTCTCTCCTGGAGCAATGACCTCTTCATCAGCAGTGTGCTGCAAGGGGACAGAAACAGCACCAGGGTCCCACTGCAGCTCTCCAAAGCCTGGGGCACAACTTCCCCCTGCAGGACCCTCCCTGAGCCTCCTCTCCAGGGAAGGGGGAACATGGCCCATCAGGAGGGGCTGGATTGAAGCAAGCTGCACCTCTGCCCCCTGCTCCTCTCCCACCTCAGTTCTCAGGGTCTTACTCAGGGTGCTCACCTCTTTCTTCTCCTTCTTGTTGCCCTCCACTGTGCTGTCCCCTTTGCTGCTGCCCTTCTTGTCCACCCAGAGCTCCGATTTCTCCACCATGGTGCGGAGTTTGTCCAGCTCTGACTTGATCACCTTGTAGTTCTCCACATCCTGGGCCGAGATGAGGAGCTGAACCTGCAGTGACATTCCCAAGGGTCTCTAGTTTGGGGCACAAACCCCATTCTCCTCCCTTTCCAGATGTCCCTCCCTCCCCAGGAAAGGGGCCAGGACCCATCCTATGTCCTGCACCCAGAGCCAAGCCTGGGTTTAGAGCTGCTCCAGAGCATTGTCCCAACAGGGTTACCTGTTTGAAGGTGTTCAAGACCTCCTGCCTCTGGCTGAAGTGCTTGAAGAGGAGCTGCAGGGAGCCGGAGATGAGTGGTGGGTAGTCGTGCATGGTCAGGTGGATCAGAACCCGCAGAAACATCCTCCCTCCCTCGTCATCCACCTCTAACATGCTGCTCGTCTTCCTGAAGCCGGGATGAAAGCGTTGGGTGTTACAGGGGCCAGGTGGGAGCTTGGGTGCACTCAGCCCCACCTCGGGGCTGACAGGGACAGCTGCATTGGCCGTTAGAGCCTCATCTTCCTCATCACCTGCAGCTTTCAGCCTCGGCAGAATGGACAGGAGAGGAAGAGCCCTGTGGCCAGGCTAACTATGCACTGCAGGGGCAGGGACTCACCCCACACCAAACATGGCTTCTGCGTGCTCGCCAATCCGGTCCAGGTTCATGGCTGCAGCTGCAGGGAGAGGAAAGGGAGATGGAAAGGGTGGCCAGCAGGATCTCACCAGCAGAAACCCACAGGAACCAACCCAGCTCCCTGCTCTAAGCGTCCACAGGGCACCTCATCCCTCCTGCACCAACCCCAGTCCCCCCACCCTGCTCCTTGCCAGCAGCAGTGGTGGGTGCAGAGCAGCTGGAGCTGTCACCTCCATCCCCACTGCGTCCCCAGCCTGTGGGGTTTTGCTGAGTTGAAGCTCTACCAGGAGCAAAGTGGAAGAGTTACTTGTGGAGTCAAAGGCTCCCCAACCAAACAGGGCTTCCGGGGGCTCGCCAATCCGGTCCAGGTTCATGGCTGCAGCTGCAGGGAGAGGAAAGGGAGATGGAAAGGGTGGCCCAGCAGGATCCCACCAGCAGAAACCCACAGGAACCAACCCAGCTCCCTGCTCTAAGCGTCCACAGGGCACCTCATCCCTCCTGCACCAACCCCAGTCCCCCCACCCTGCTCCTTGCCAGCAGCAGTGGTGGGTGCAGAGCAGCTGGAGCTGTCACCTCCATCACCACTGCGTCCCCAGCCTGTGGGGTTTTGCTGAGTTGAAGCTCTACCAGGAGCAAAGTGGAAGAGTTACTTGTGGAGTCAAAGGCTGGAGCTGTCCCATCAGCTGCACTGTCCTGCATGGGATAGACTTCCACAAACTCCTTCTTGAAGACAGAAAGCAGGTAGGAAATCCTGTAGTCCAGCCGCACATTCAGGATGAACTGGCAGCAGCAAAGGAGAAGGAAAAGTGAGTGACCTCTTCATGGAGCTCTCTCTTTGCATCAGAAACCCATGTTGTCACCTCACCACCCCATGCCATGGGTCCCATCCACAGCTCCACAATGCTTCTCCCTTCCCACCAACTCCAACCTGCAAGATCTCCAGAATCTTCAGCTTGGTCTCCATCACCACAATGTTCTCATTCTCAATGCTCCTCCCTCTGTCCACTTGCTCTGGGGCAGACCCAGCACTGAGGCTTGGAGGGCTGAAGATGGACTGCTTCCTGCTCAGCACCATGGTGGACATCATCTGCCCAACTCCCTGGATCGATCTCCTCACGTTCTTCCCTACAGAGGTGGCCAGAGTTAATGCAGATGGAAAGGGAGGTGGCAGAGAACCAAGAGAAGGCACCACTTAGATTGGGAAATGCTGTAGATGTTAATCAGAGAACTAGTAAGAGGGACTGGCCAGTTCTCTGGCATTGCCAAGGACTTGGTGCCTCCTGTATCCTGGATCAGACCCAGCCAAAGGTCCCATGCCAGTGAACCAGTGGCTTGATTTCCTGCACCTAAAACTGGAGAGCACTGGGCAGACCATGGAAAACACCTTCCTGTGGGACCATGCCTGGTTGTGGAGCAGGGACTCACCTGTCACCTCGTCGTTGTAGACTGTCTGCATCATCAGCTGGGGGTTCTGGACACAGTCAATGATACCCAGCAGTGTCCGTGTCAGGCGCAGCAGCTCACTGAAGCTGTAGAAGCCGAAGTAGATGAGGTTGTGGGCAAGGCTGACAACCTGGGGAAGGAGAAGGCAGCTCCAGACCTCACCATGCTTGGGGCTGAGCAGGAGAAACAAACAAGGGGAAGAGGGATCCCAGGCCGCCCTGGTTGCAGAGGCAGCTGCAGCCAAAGTGTGTGACATCCTGCAACGTGCCAGTGGCACCGGCAGGTCCCGCACCTCGAAGGTGAGCTTGTTCTTCTCCTCGTTGGCAAAGGGCACGGCCTCGCTCACCACGTTGTTGAGGTAGTCCTCCACAAACTCCATGGTGCTGGCAAACTTGTTCTTCTTGTCGTCCCGTGAGGCATTGAGGTTGGAGTCATAGCTGCGAGGGGAGAGGGTAGGGGTGAGCTGGACTGCAGCAAGTGTCTTCACAGCCAGCCAGCAAGGAGCACTGGCCAGGCAGCTGCTGCCATCGGGGCCAGAAGTGATGGTCACAACTGTGATGGAGCTCACTTCCTCCTGAAGGCTGAGACCTGCTAAATTCGCTCCACAAATGGCCCCTCCCAGGCTCTGCTAAAGCAAAGCCTGTCCCTGCGCCTGCCACCCCATCTCCTGCCCTGTCCCTTAAAGCTGCTGTGAACCTCAGCGTGTCTCACTCTTTGATGGTGATGGCTGTGGGGATCTCGGTCCAGAGCCGTGCAAACTTCACGGGCATCACCAGTTCCTGGGGGTCCCTGTCCACGTGCACGTGTAACATGAGGTGGCAGAAGGACGCCCGGAGATCAAAGGGCAGCATCTCATCTGCCATGCAGAGGAAGATCAGGTCCACACCCAGCTGCTGGGAGATCTCCTTGATGGCCAAGTACTGGCGATCCAGGCACATGCGGGCAAAGAGCTTCAGCTGGTACCTGCCCAGGGACAAGGAGGACAGGGAGTGAGGATGTGCAATCTTTACATCCTCACCTTGGGAGATGATGCCACAGGATCATCACCTGTAGTAGCTGAGGACATTCTCATCGTGGGCATTGCCAGCCCGGGCCTCCTGTGCCAGCTGCCGGATGCTTTTCTCGTGGTGATCGTTGTTCTTGTCCGTCCAGGTGAGCCAAACCTCCTCCTCCGAGTACTCGATGCTCAGGTACTCGTGGGTCTGGGACATCTCCTTCACTGGCCTCAGCCTGCGGCAGGAAACAGGTAAAACTGGAGATGTTCCAGTGGACAGGAAGTGGCTGCACCTCGAGGGGTGATGGGGCTTTTACCAGGGCACCACAGGAGCTGGTGGAAGGCAGGACCAGGCACCAGATGTGAATGTGGTCAACATCTGTGCTCAGCTACTCACTCAGTTTTGATGAGGATGTCACTGTTCTTCGGGTCCAGCACACACTTGCAGATCAGCTCCTGGGTGACAGGGATGGCAATGTGGTTGGACACGCACAGGTCTGAGAGGTAGTCCAAGAACCTAGAGAGCAGACACAGCTCGCTGTGAAAGGGTGTCCCAGGCTGGGAGGGGCTTTCTCCACCTCTGGTTGAGGCACATCCCACCCCTGACGCTGCAGAGAGGACGGGACCTTCCCAGACACCCACCGTGGCTCACGGTTCTTGCGCACCAGGCTGACAAAGGTCTCCACCTCGGTCTTGGTGATGTGCTTCTCCAGCAGCTTGCGGTTGTTGTGCAGCAGGGCCGTGATGGTGTCCTCAGCCAGGATGTCGTAGCCGATCTGGGACTGCATCATGCCAAACTGCTTGGCGATGTGCTCCTGGAGCAGGCAGAGAGGTGGTGAGGGCACAGGGCTGGCTGTCAGCTCCCCCGTGCCCCACCGCGACCTCGGCAGCTCCCTAGGGCTTTGCAAGATGTGGTGGGGATGGGAGATCTTCCCATCACACCCCCGCGCACCTGGTTCTTGCGATAGTCCTCCTGGGAGTGCCGCAGCACGCGGTAGCACAGCCGGAACATGTACTGGTAGGGAGCGTTCTTCTGGTCCGACAGCTCCTCCAGCCGCACCAGGGGCCCTTCCCCACCCTTGTCCTTGAAGGGGGCTTTCAGGATCCCAAAGATCTGCCCAAAAGCAAAGATCATGAAGTGCTGTGTCCCCCTCCACACCAGCACCCCCATGCGTGGCTGGACATGGACACTAGCCATGCTTGTCAAGAGGGCCTGGTGCTCCACCCTGGAGACCAGCTACACCTCCTTCTTGGGCGTTCCCAGATCTCTGGCCTCCAGCGTGGCCCTGGCCAGAGCAGAACATCTCTGTAGGACCTCAACCTTGCTCAGATGCAAGGCTCCTGGGCCACTCACCTGCTTCAGGATGTTCTGCTCCCGCATCAGCTTCTGCCGCTCCCGGTTGGGCTTGGTCACCACAATGTCCAGTACGTTCTGGCCATTGTTGGGGACATCACTGACAAAAAACACCAAGTCCTCCAACAGCTGGATCACAAACCTGCAAAGGGGCACGGTACAGGTTGGGAGGTGGGACTCTCTAGCTGGGGGGTGCTGCTGTCCCACCCCACCCAGACCCAGCTCCCTGCAATGACACCAGCACATCTGGGAGGACCATGTCCAGGATTCAAAACACTGCCAGGGAACCTGCTGGCCCATCCTCCCCTCCCTGCTAAAGGTTAATGGCTGAAGCAAGAGGCTTTACAGCCTCCTAAGGGAACCATACGTGCCAGGGTAAACTCCAGCAGCCTTTGCTGGGGAATCAAGCTGGGAATTGTGCATGTAATGCCTCTGCCCCTTTGTCACCTTTGCGGGACGGGCTGGCAGGGCGGAAGCGGCTCTGTGGGGATCTGTGTTTGCTCAGGAAGCCCCAAGAACCCACCCACCTAAAAATAACACGGTGACTAACCCGGCTGCCCCTATCGCGGGGCCATCTCCCAGCCCCTCGGGTATTTTCCTAGCAGCAAAGGAGGGGCCGCAGCGGGGCTGCCGCGTTATCTGGTTTCCTCGCCAGACTCCCAGGAGAAGCAGGCGTGGATTTGGGTTGTGGGCAAGGAAGCAAGACAGGGCTGGTACCACGACCCAGGCAGGGGCCCCATCCTGTGGTGATGCTGAAGAGCCCTTGGAGGAGCCCAGCACAGCCCCCAGCTCCCAGGGGAAGTGACTTCGTACCTCCGGTCATTCTGGCTGAGAAAACCTTCGTTCATCTTCTCCACCACATTGGCCAACATCGAGCTGGCATCGTTTGCAAAGTCCAGGTCCCGGATCTCAGACACGGGCACGGAGACGATGGCAAAAGCTTCTTTGTCTTCTTTGGTGGGGCATGTGCCCAGCTGGGAAACAACAGGGAAGCAGCATCGCACAGTCAGGGCAGTGACCCCACCAGCTTCCACCAACCAGCGTGAAGTCTTTGACCCAGTTTGTCCCCATCAGAAGGGCTGGGGTGGGCTCTAGGTCACTGGGATGGGCTCTAGGCTGGTGTCCAGCCACCCCCTTGGATATTTATATTTACATCAGGGTATTGCAGTCCCTGGGTGCTGGGGTGGGAAGGAGCACGCTCAGAGCTATCAAGGCCCAGGGGACAAACCCACACCCGGGAGGATGTTTGGGGGCAGTACCATGAGGCGAATGGGCCTCTCCTCATCGATGTCAATGGGTACATTGGTGCTCTGGATCCAGGTGTTGGTGCAGAGGTGGCGCAGCCGCACGTAGGAGTTCCTGCCAACACCACAGTGTCCCACTGAGCCATCCCACGCGGATACACCAGCACCCACCGCCTCCCCCAACACCAAGGGCAAAGCCCCTCCAAGAACAGACTTGCCGAAACGTCGTGATCAAGAATTAAGCCTCTCTCCTTTCTTTCATCCCCCCCCTTGGCAGCCTCCCACTTACCGTGGGACGAAGGAGTCTGTTTTCTGCAGCGTGGTGGGGTCCAGCTCGAAGAGGGAGGCGATGTCGTTGCCGTGGGGCACGGCCACCAGCCGGTACTTGATCTTCTCCCCCGTGTTCCTGCGGCTGGCGCGGCTGCTGCCCCCCTGCAGTGGGGAAGGCAGCTGTGAGCCCCACCAAGCCCAGTTTCCCCCCGCATGTGGCACTGGGAGGGGACACAGACACGCGGCAGGAGCAGAAGCTTTTGCTCGGCCACCGGGCTGAGCCTCACAGTGCAGAGATGCATCAGGGGCTGCAAGAGCACAAGCGTGAGGCACCTGAGCTACCAGAGCATCCCCCCCCGCCCCTTCTCCAAACCTCACCAATGGCAAAGAGGGCAAACATCAAACAAACAAGCAAACAAACACAACAAACACCCTGAAAAATCAAAAAATCTCTCTTCTACCAGCACTTCCCCATGGCCTGGGGGATCCAACATGCACTGGGACCCCTCCAAAGAGATTTGGGCAGGGTCCTCTCGCAAGCAGGATGCTACTCTATGGAATGGGGACACTCTGCTGGGCAGCAGGACAGCCTCTGGCTGCAGCCTCAGCACCAAGGAGGGCACGGCGTGGGCACTGTCCCCAGGGTGGGCTCTGTTTTGGGGGCATTTCCCTGCTTTCAGGCAGAATCTAAGAGATGGCGTGATTTCAGGCGGCGGCAGCAGCGTGTCTGCTAGCGAGGCTGCACACAGCTCACCGTGGGCGCTGCTTTGGGCTCAGCCACGTCTCCTTTATAACTTGGATTTTCCTGAAAAGTTAAAGAGGGAGATGAAAGGCAGCTGTCAGTCCTCCCGCTCGGTCCCTCCAAAACCCTGAGCACAGGGTGTTATCTCCATTCCTGCCTTCCTCGATCACATCGCGCAGGGAGAAGCTGCCCTGGTGGGGCTGGAGGACACGTCCCGTCCCCAGGGCACAGTGTTCTGTCCCCAGCAAGTGGGATGGGGTCAGCCCTAGTGAGCAGACCCAGGACCTTGCCTGGCAGCAAGACAAGCTCTTGCCATAAATCCCTGGAGGCCCCAGGCTGATCAACCTGCCAGCTTTTCCTCTGCAGAAGATGTCACCTGAGTTGTCTTTTGACTTGAAGCAGCCCTTTCAGAAACCCAGTATTTGCTGTTTTCCATTGTGCACTGGTGGAAAGGGCCCTTGGTTGTCTTCTCCAGCTATGGAGCACTTTTGGCACATAGTACACCAAGACCCCCCCCAGTACCTCCCTGCTCCCTGGCAGCAGGGTGTAACACTCTCCTTCCCTTGGTGCTGGAGTCCTTTGGGTCACATAAACCACACTATGTGAATATGGAAAACAATTTGTGCCTCTATCAGGAGGCCTTGAACTGGCCTTAAAAGGGATCCAAAAAACTTGGCAAACGGTGTTTCCAAGCCCAGATTTTGCCCGCAGCCCCCACAGGCAAGGATAGCCCTGGATGCTGCCGTGGACCAGAGGATGAGGTTGGGCAAAACCTCATCATAAAGAGTGAAATGCAGCAGGATGAATGATCTCCCCCTTCCATCTCAGCAGGAGGTTGTGCACAGGGTCGCTTTGCCCAGAGAGAGAGAGACAGGAATAAGAGGGCCACCCCCCCTTGCTCCTCCCAGGCCAGCAGAGGTGAGAGCTAGGAACAACAATCTTGGCAAGCAAACCCCTGCACCATGGGACCAGGGATTTCAGGGAGGGGAAAGCCTAGTCCTGCAAACAGGCAAATGCAGATGATGCTCCCAGCCCCAGCCCAATCCCTCCTGCCAGTGAGCAGGGGCCAGGGTGGCCCAGGACAGGACAGCTCTGAGGGCAAATAAGAGCAGGGCCAGAGGCAACCCCAGGTGGCCACTGCCTTGATGGGATGGGACCATCCTTTCAAGGGCAGGGCAGGTCTCTGCATCCCTCTGCTCACCCCCTTACCTCTGCTGCCAGGTAGTTGCCCGTGGCGAGGTGCTTGAAGCGGTACAAGCCGTTCCAGTGCCCGGCTCCCCCCCGGCACGGGTCGTGGTGAACAACCTGGGAGAAGCAGAGGAGAGATCAGCTGGTGGCACATGGGGCAGTGGGGAGCAGGTTTGCTGGTCCTATGTCAGGCAACACACTGATGATAAGAGCCCCATCCTAGCCCCAAGGCAGCCACGAGCAAATATAGGAGGGGTGCAGAGCTCAGACAGAGCCCAGTGCCCACCCACCCACAGCCACCACTCCCAGGGCTCTCCCAAGCCCTGGGAAGTCAGGATGACAAAGGTGGAAATATAGAGAAATAACAATTTTTTTTTCCAGCACCCCACCCTTGGTGAAAGCACAGGGAGATGCACCAAAAGCCCCCAGACATGCTCTCAATCCCCTCCCCACTCACCTCCACCTCCCACAGGGCGTTGGAGCTGGTGGCCGAGGTGGCCGACTGCCGCAGGGTGGTGCGGAGGAAGACGTGCAGCTTCCCTTTGTACTCATCACACGTGAGGAACTTCTCCTGCTCAGCATGGAAGAGCCTCACCACGTCCCCCTGGACCAGGAGATGGTGGTAAGACCCAGGGATGTGGCTCTGCTATGAAACAACGTGTCTCTCCCCGCCCCCACCCTGCAAGGGGATGGGATTTTCCCAAACACAGTCTGGAGCAGAGCCAGAGCTCCCAGCTGTAGCATGGCAGGACCACAGGAACCTGGGCATTGCAGAGCACCATCAGCTTTTTCAGCCCCACCTACCTGAGCTGGAAAAAATCCTGCCTCTAGCAGCACAAATCCTCCTGCAAACCCAGGGGAGGGCACCTTGCATGGGCACAGGGCACCCTGGACCCTGCAGTGTCACTGCTCAGTGACCATATCATAGAATCAGAATCCCAGACTGGTCGGGGTTGGAAGGGACCTTCAAGATCATCTAGTTTCAAGCCACCTGCCTGGGCAGGGGCACCTCCCACCAGCCCAGGTTGCTCCAAGCCCCATCCAACCTGCCCTTCAACACTGCCAGAGTTGAGGGAGCCACAGCTTCCCTGGGCAACCCGGGCCAGGGTTTCACCACCCTCACACTATAGAATTTCTTCCTAATGCCTCACCTAAAGCTTCTCTCTTACAGTTTTAATCCATCCCCCTCATCCCATCCCTCCCTGCCCTTGTCCCAAGCCCCTCCCCAGCTTTCCTGGAGCTCCTTCAGGCACTGGAAGGTGCTCTAAGGTCTCCCTGGAGCCTTCTCTTCTCCAGGCTGAACACCCCAAATCTCCCAGTCTGTCCCAGAGCAGAGCTGCTCCAGCCTTCAGATCATCTTTGTGGCCCTGTGCAGGTCACTTCTCTCTGCTTCCCCTCCCTGGGCTGTAAAATGGGCACAACCTCAGTGTTTCACATCCCTGGAGCAGGTGGCAGCTCCGCTCACTGATGTGTTTAAGGCATTAATCCCCCAGGGAGGAGGATGCTGTGGATGTGGGAAGCCAGGGATAAGTGCCAGAGCCTGGGGACGAGGGGCTGTAAGATCATAACAATCAATATCCATCCAGCTGCTTCCTGGAGGACCTCAGCCCTGAACAATAGCTCTGCAGGGAAAGCTCCTTTCCCAGGCAACAGCCAGCCCTGCTGCATGGCTAAACAGCCAAAAATTGTCCTCACAGCTCGAAGCCACTGCTGGCACTTCATGTGCCTCGTATTGCCCTCAGGAGACAATCCCATACAATAAGGGGGAGGGTAATTTCATGTCCCCCTGGGTGCCTGCTGCCAGGAGATACTACAATATCCAACTCTAGCTTGCTGTCAAGTATTCCAGGTGATGAATTCTAGAAATTGAAGGCTTCATGACAGGATGTCTTTCTTTGGCCCTTGTCACACAGCCAAACAACTGTTCACACGTCCTGCCCAGACAGGGGATGGGGAACAGGTCCCCAGAGCCCACCATGGCCAAACCTCCTTCCTTACCCCTTTCAGTACTTCCTCCATGTGATCACAGAACTGCATGAAAAGGTTGATTTTCCAGCTGGTGTTACAATTGACCGAGTTCACCTAAGGAGCAAGACAGCAAGGTCATGATCCCTGGGACAAGTTAGAAAAGGAAGAAAGAGGAAAAAAAAACAACAGGCAAGCCCCAAAAGCCAGACCCGCCAGGGGCAGCCTAGCCCCCGCCCAGCCTCCCC